CACATGGAATCACAACATCTACATAACCCTGGACAACACGGGTTCAGAGCAGGACGCTCCTGCGTCTCACAGTTGCTAGATCACTGTGATATGGCCTGAGGTGCCATGGAAGACGAGCAAAACGCTGATGTAATATACACAGACTTTGCAAAAGCTTTCGACAAATGTGATCACGGTGTTATTGCGCACAAAATGCGTACAAAAGAAATTACTGGCAAAGTAGGGAGATGAAGCTTCAATTTCCTAGCGAAGAGAACGCAGAGTGTAATAGTCAACACAGTAAAATCCGGATCATTACTATGAAAAGCTCAGTCCCCCAAGGTACCGTATTTGCTCCGATATTTTTTCTCATGCTAATATCAGACATAGACAAGGATACAAACTACAGCACTGTATCATCACTTACAGATGACACAAAGATTTTCATGTAAGTAGACAATATAGAGGACGCGGCAAACCTCCAATCGGATGTAAATTTGGTCTTTCAATGGGCCACAGATAATAACATGTTTAATGAGAATAAGTTCCATCTCCTTGACTACGGAAAAAATGAAAATATAAAAACAAACCATATATAAAACTGAATCAAATCACACTATTGAACGAAAAAATCAATGTTAAGGATCTAGGAGTAATTATGTGGGAAGACCTTACCTTTATAGAACACCATAAAGTAGCTGTCACGACTACAAGAACAATGACAGGTTGGATATCAAGGACCTTCCTAACAATGGATGCCATGCCAATGATGATACTTTTTAAGACACTAGTGCTCTCTAGGGTGGAATATTGTTGCACTCTAACGACCCCATTCAGAGCCGGAGAAGTTGCTGACCTGGAGAGCTTGCAACGCCCCGTTACCGCTAGAATTCACTGTCATCTTAATTATTGGGACCGATTAAACGTTCTAAATGTGTATTCTTTAGAGCGCAGACGAGAGAGATACATAATAATTTACACGTTGAAAATAGTAGAGGGGCTGGTCCCAAACATTCACACAGAAATAACACCACATGAGACCAGAAGGCATGGCAGGATGTACAGAATACCCCCGTTGAAGAGCAGAGGTGCAACAGGTACTCTGAGAGAGAACTCTATCAACATCAGAGGTCCGAGACTGTTCAACAGCTTCCGCTACACATAAGGGGCATAACTATCTTATCTTGAGATAGTTTCGGGGCTTAGCGTCCCCGCGGCCCAGTTCTCGACCAGGCCTCCTTATTGTTACACACCTCCAGGAAGCAGCCCGTAGCAGCTGTCTAACTCCAAGGTACCTATTTATTGCTAGGTGAACAGGAGCATCAGGGTGACAGAAACTCTGCCCATGTTTGTTTCCGCCCCCACCGAGGATCGAACCCGGAACCTCAGGACTACGAATCCGAAGCGCTGTCCACTCAGCTGTCAGGCGCCCTCTAGCCGACCCCTCACAGTGTTCAAGAGAGAACTGGATAAACACCTCCAAAGGATACCTGATCAACCAGACTGTGACTCATAGGTCAGGCTGCGAGCAGCCGCGTCCAACAGCCTGGTTGACCAGTCCAGCAACCGGGAGGCCTGGTCGGAGACCGGGCCAAGGGGCCATTGATCCCTAGACGCTAAACATGGTAGACACAAGGGAGGTAGGCAGTGATCAATCCAACCTGCCCTCTTAAAAATAACGTCGCTTTTGGCCGTTTGCCCATAAGGCCGAAAGTGGACGTAATAGGAAAATGAAAAAAAAAATAAAAATAAATTTGGGATTTTTTTTTCGCCAATAATAAGTTAAGGGTCCTCTGATAGGTTAGGTGGGCAGGAAATTCTCATAAGTTTCAAAACGTTATGAAAAACGTTAATTGAAAGTTTCCTCTCCTAACCGTACCAAGTAAGCCAGACGACTCAAACAGAAAACGGAACAGAACGTCACTTTTGTGAGTCGATTTCATTTCAAATTACGTCCACATTTGGCCATAGCGCGCATACGAGCGAAAAGCGACGTTATTTTTAAGAGGACGGGTTGATCAATCGGTGTAGCTGATTGACGTTATGTTGACCGCGCCAGGTGTCGGAGCCGCACCTGTATCACCCCTCACCGCTACGAGGGCAGGGATAACTGAAGGGCTCTCTAGGGAAACTTGGGCTGCAGGTATGGCTGGACAATTGACTACAACTTCAGTCCAAAGAAATGAAAGGTCCAGGGCGGGAGCAGGCATACGAAGGCCAGAGTAACGGTACACAATGAAGTAGAGAAACTAAATTGAACGTGCGTGTTCATTGTGTGTGTGTATTCACCTAGTTGTGCTTGCCGGGGTTGAGTTCTGCTCTTTCGGCCCGCCTCTCAACTGTCAATCAATCAACTGTTACTAACTACTATTTATAATTCCCCCCGCCCCCCCCCCCACACACACACACACACACGAGCCACAGGGACGTTAGAAAGAATTTTTTCAGTGTCAGAGTAGTTAACAGGTGGAATGCATTAGGCAGTGACGTGGTGGAGGCTGACTCCATACACAGTTTTAAATGTTGATATGATAGAGCCCAATAGGCTCAGGAATCTGTACACCAGGTGATTGACGGTTGAGATGTGGGACCAAAGAGGCAAAGCTCAACCCACGCAAGCACAATTAGGTGAGTACACACACACACACACACACACACACACACACACACACACACACACACACACACACACACACACACACATACACAGGGTTGATAAAGACAGGCTATTTAACACAAGGGGCACACACACTAGGGGACACAGGTGGAAACTGAGTGCCCAAATGAGCCACAGAGATATTAGAAAGAACTTTTTTAGTTGTCAGAGTGGTGGACAAATGGAATGCATTAGAAAGTAATGTGGTGGAGGCTGACTCCATACACAGTTTCAAGTGTAGATATGATAGAGCCCAATAGGCTCAGGAACCTGTACACCAGTTGATTGACGGTTGAGAGGCGGGACCAAAGAGCCAGAGCTCAACCTCCGGAAGCACAACTAGGTGAGTACAACTAGGTGAGTACAGGACGCAGCCCGTAACAGCTGTCTAACTCCCAGGTACCTATTTACCTCTAGGTAACAGGGGCATCAGGGTGAAAGAAACTCTGCCCATTTGTTTTCAACCCGTTCTCGCAAATTTAATGTCAATATTGACTTATTAAATATGTGCATAGGTGACATACTTAACATAATAGATACCCTTAAAAAGATTCATAGAAAACACCGACCTTACCTAACCTTGTTAGTATCTTAAGATAAGCATCTTATTGCTTCGTAATTACAATTATTACCTAACCTATAATAGGTATAGGTTAAGTAATAATTGTAATTACGAAGCAATAAGATGCTTATCTTAAGATACTAACAAGGTTAGGTAAGGTCGGTGCTTTCTATGAATATTTTTAGGGGTATCTATTATGTTTAGTATATCACCTGTGCACGTAGTTAATAAGTCAATATTGACTTTACGAATTTGCGAGAACGGATTGTTGTTTTCCGCCGGCTGCCGGGATTAAACCCCTTCAAGACGGTCCTTAGGTCCACGAGTCTAGAGCGTTGTCCACTGAGCCAGCCAGCCCCGATGTGTATGTGTGTGTGTGTGTGTGTGTGTGTGTGTGTGTGTGTGTGTGTGTGTGTGTGTGTGTGTGTGTGTGTGTGTGTGTGTGTGTGTGTGTTGGGGTGAGGGAGGTGTAGATGCATGTGTTTCAGGTGTGGAAGTAGGGTGAGGGTGCGTATATGAGGCGGGGTTGGAGGAAGACGCCCACCTCCACCATGGGTATTGATTCTCCCTCCTGCACTCGCCTTCCTTCTTGTACTCATTTACTCCTCGACCATTTCCCTCTTATTAGCCATTCACTCTACTGACCCCTCCCCCCCACCCCGCACTCCTCCCTTGGGAACACGGCCTTTGTTCGAGTGGGTGACCCCATGACCTGGAGGGCAGCTTAGTGTGGCTTGTGGGGGCCCTCTTCTCGTCCCAGGACAGTAGACGGTGTTCATCCTTGTGGGATCACTGGGCATTCCTCCTCAACATAAGTTATATCAGAGTTGTCCCCTCCGGTTCGACCTCCACCGGTTCAGGTGCCAAGTCCAGACTATACGTTATATTTAGACGAGATTTGCACACTGCGCTGTGTGGCGCATATTGTTTGGTCATTGTTCCATTGCAATTATAAAGTCTTATTTATACCACACGTACATTTGGTGTTGCTTCTCCATATTTTTAATAGAGAAAAGGTTCTGTAGCCTTGTTCAGTTACTCTGTGAGCGAGGGGGAAAGTGGTGACAGCAAGAATATGCTTTCTGCAACTAAATATGCATATTTAGTGGCAGAAAGTGCCAGGGCACAGGGTGGGATGGTAGGATTTAACAAGGTCAAGGCAAGGTAACGGTTCTCGCCACTTTGCAATGGCCGATTTTCAACAATATCAGTTCGGACTTAGACAAGAGCAGTGCGTCCAGGATCTTGGTGTACGTTATCACATAAGAGTCCTTCTGTGGGGGGTCGTCCTCTCCGGCAGGCTTCACCTCCTCCAGGATCACTTTGGTGGTGGGAGGCACTTCAGTGCTAGAGAAGCACTCTAAAGATCTCCCATTTGGTGTTCCGCGTTAATAATATGTTTGAGTGGGACCTAATATGGTGGGAGCATGGAAGTGTATCTGCTGCTGTCCCTTGGTGAGCGTGGCAGTATTACACAAGGCTTGATGTATACACCGCTGTAAAAACAATCAACGTTTATTTACAAAACTTATGTCTAATACTCGGGAGCTTACGTTATCTTATGATTTGTGTTGCCACATCTAATATCCCATCAAGCGAGACTTAAGACGCATCACTGGCCGACCATGTGGTGCTTCATAGACAATCCTATAGCAACACTTCCTAAGACAATCACGGCTTTTCTATCACTAGCCGGTTGCAAGGGGAAAAACAAATGAGAGTTCCTTCCAGATGATGGGGGATAAAGTGGGTGTCACAGGACTGGCACTGGGCATCACAGGACTGGCACTGGGTGTCTCAGGACTAGCACTGGGCATCACAGGACTGGCACTGGGTGTCACAGGACTGGCACTGGGTGTCACAGGACTGGCACTGGGTGTCACAGGACTGGCACTGGGTGTCACAGGACTGGCACTGGGCATCACAGGACTGGCACTGGGTGTCACAGGACTGGCACTGGGTGTCACAGGACTGGCACTGGGCGTCACGGGACTGGCACTGGGCGTCACGGGACTGGCACTGGGTATCACGGGACTGGCACTGGGTGTCACGGGACTGGCACTGGGTGTCACAGGACAGGCACTGGGTGTCACAGGACAGGCACTGGGTGTCACAGGGCTGGCACTGGGTGTCACAGGACTGGCACTGGGTGTCACGGGACTGGCACTGGGTGTCACGGGACTGGCACTGGGTGTCACAGGGTGTCACAGGACTGGCACTGGGTGTCACGGGACTGGCACTGGGTGTCACGGGACTGGCACTGGGTGTCACGGGACTGGCACTGGGTGTCACAGGACAGGCACTGGGCATCACAGGACAGGCACTGGGTGTCACAGGGCTGGCACTGGGTGTCACGGGACTGGCACTGGGTGTCACGGGACTGGCACTGGGTGTCACAGGACAGGCACTGGGCGTCACAGGACTGGCACTGGGTGTCACAGGACAGGCACTGGGTGTCACAGGGTGTCACAGGACAGGCACTGGGTGTCACAGGGCTGGCACTGGGCGTCACAGGGCTGGCACTGGGCGTCACAGGACTGGCACTGGGCGTCACAGGACAGGCACTGGGCGTCACAGGACTGGCACTGGGTGTCACAGGACTGGCACTGGGTGTCACAGGACTGGCACTGTGTGTCACAGGACTGGCACTGGGTGTCACAGGACTGGCACTGGGTGTCACAGGGCTGGCACTGGGTGTCACCGGGCTGGCACTGGGTGTCACATTACAGGCACTGGGCGTCACAGGACTGGCACTGGGCGTCACAGGACAGGCACTGGGCGTCACAGGACTGGCACTGGGTGTCACAGGACTGGCACTGGGCGTCACAGGACTGGCACTGGGTGTCACAGGACAGGCACTGGGTGTCACAGGACTGGCACTGGGCATCACAGGACAGGCACTGGGTGTCACAGGGCTGGCACTGGATGTCACAGGACTGGCACTGGGTGTCACAGGACTGGCACTGGGTGTCACGGGACTGGCACTGGGTGTCACGGGACAGGCACTGGGCGTCACAGGACTGGCACTGGGTGTCACAGGACAGGCACTGGGTGTCACAGGACAGGCACTGGGTGTCACAGGGCTGACACTGGGTGTCACAGGGCTGGCACTGGGCGTCACAGGACTGGCACTGGGCGTCACAGGACAGGCACTGGGCGTCACAGGACTGGCACTGGGTGTCACGGGGCTGGCACTGGGTGTCACAGGGCTGGCACTGGGTGTCAGGACTGGCACTGGGTGTCACAGGACTGGCACTGGGCGTCACAGGACAGGCACTGGGCGTCACAGGACTGGCACTGGGTGTCACGGGGCTGGCACTGGGCATCACAGGACTGGCACTGGGCATCACAGGACTGGCACTGGGCATCACAGGACTGGCACTGGGTGTCACAGGACTGGCACTGGGCGTCACAGGACAGGCACTGGGCGTCACAGGACAGGCACTGGGCGTCACAGGACTGGTACTGGGCGTCACAGGACTGGCACTGGGCGTCACAGGACTGGCACTGGGCGTCACAGGACTGGCACTGGGTGTCACAGGACTGGCACTGGGTGTCACAGGACTGGCACTGGGTGTCACAGGACTGGCACTGGGCGTCACAGGACTGGCACTGGGCGTCACAGGACTGGCACTGGGCGTCACATGACAGGCACTGGGCATCACAGGACTGGTACTGGGCGTCACAGGACTGGTACTGGGCGTCACAGGACAGGCACTGGGCATCACAGGACTGGTACTGGGCGTCACAGGACTGGCACTGGGCGTCACAGGACTGGCACTGGGCGTCACATGAGGTACACCTGGTAATCTTGGGCAGGTCACGTGGTCAGCAGCTTGAGCGGGTGAGTGGACTGGTCCTCGGGTGAAGGAAGGTCCACAGGCTGTATCAGCTGTGGTTCAACTTGCATGGTTGGACACGAGGGGCAGGTTACACTGGTTCGTGTGAGACACGGAGTGGTGGCTATTGTCTGGCTCTTCCATCTTAACTTTGATATGTTTAAGGCACTTCACCTTCAGATCCTCTCGCTGCACTGCGGGTTTGCGTTCAATGTTCACCTGCCCCTTACTGTATCATTAACTCCTCAGGTGATATACTGTCTTCAGGTGATATCTTACCATCGTAACCCATGTTTTTTTCAGCCCTGTTGCATCTGGATATAACGCTCGTGATATCTCGACGTAGCCGGACTTTACTTGAGTCAACAAAAATAATTACACTGCAGGATTCCAGCCGCTCGCAGGTTATTTGACAAGGAATGAGTGTTACCTTGATGCACCTGAGGACTAGGACGAGGTGTTCTCATTAGTAGTCTCTCAGAGGCGCTCGCACGTCGTGGCTGGCTGGTGACCCCACGGCAGGAATGGCGTGACCGGTGAGGTGGAATCACGCTCTGGGCGGCTTCCAGCTGTCTCGCGAGGGTTAGCCAATCACCGATCAGCTACTGTGTCGGCGTGGGGGGGGGGCATACTGGAGTTATTCTGGGTCATCACAGGTCACGTGGACTGTCGACGTCATGGGTCACGTCACGCTATCCCAAGTCCGGTCTCTGGTGACCTGACTGCTATTCACCACTGTTTTGCACAGGCTGTAGCTACCAAGATGGCGGCGCCTGTCCGGTGCTCGCTTCTACATAGACTACTACACCCTTCTGTCCCCGTACTGACCACCTGGTTGATACCTGGTTGATGGAGTTCTGGGAGTTCTTCTACTCCCCAAGCCCGGCCCGAGGCCAGGCTCGACTTGTGAGAGTTTGGTCCACCAGGCTGTTGCTTGGAGCGGCCCGCAGGGCCACGTACCCACCACAGCCCGGCTGATCCGGAACTTCTCTTAGAAAACCGTCCAGTTTTCTCTTGAAGATGTCCACGGTTGTTCCGGCAATATTTCTTATAGTCGCTGGAAGGACGTTGAACAACCGCGGACCTCTGATGTTTATACAGTGCTCTCTGATTGTGCCTATGGCACCTCTGCTCTTCACTGGTTCAATCTTGCATTTTCTTCCATATCGTTCACTCCAGTACGTTGTTATTTTACTGTGTAGATTTGGGACCTGACCCTCCAGTATTTTCCATGTGTATATTATTTGGTATCTCTCTCGTCTCCTTTCTAGAGAGTACATTTGGAGAGCTTTGAGACGATCCCAATAATTTAGGTGTTTTATCTCGTCTATGCGTGCCGTATATGTTCTCTGTATTCCCTCTATTTCAGCAATCTCTCCTGCTCTGAAGGGGGGAAGTGAGTACTGAGCAGTACTCGCGACGGGACAACACAAGTGACTTGAAGAGTACAACCATTGTGATGGGATCCCTGGATTTGAAAGTTCTCGTAATCCATCCGATCATTTTTCTGGCTGACGCGATATTTGCTTGGTTATGCTCCCTAAACGTTAGATCGTCGGACATCATTATTCCCAAATCCTTGACATGCTGTTTTTCTACTATGGGAAGAATCGATTGTGTTTTGTACCCTGTAATATGTTTCAGATCCTCATTTTTGCCGTACCTGAGTACCTGAAATTTATCACTGTTAAACATCATGTTATTTTCTGCTGCCCAATCGAAAACTTTGTTGACATCTGCGTGTAGTTTTTCAATGTCTTCAGCAGAGGTAATTTTCATGCTGATTTTTGTGTCATCTGCAAAGGACGACACGAAGCTGTGGCGTGTATTTTTGTCTATATCAGATATGAGAATAAGGAACAGTAGCGGTGCAAGGACTGTACCTTGAGGTACAGAGCTTTTAACATCGCTTGGACTCGATTTTATCTGATTGACTGTTACTCTTTGTGTTCTGTTCGACAGGAAATTGAGTATCCAGCGTCCTACTTTTCCAGTTATTCCCATTGACCTCGTTTTGTGAGCTATCACCCCATGGTCACATTTGTCGAACGCCTTTGCAAAGTCTGTGTATACAACATCTGCATTTTGCTTTTCTTCTAGGGCTTCTGTGATTTTGTCATAGTGGTTGAGTAACTGTGACAGACAGGATCTTCCCGCTCTAAATCCATGTTGTCCTGGATTGTGCAATTCATTGTTTTCCATAAAACTAGAAATTTGATTCCTAATCACTCTTTCAAACACTTTTATTATGCGAGATGTTAGTGCAACTGGCCTATAATTTTTTGCCAAGGCTTTACTCCCCCCCCCTTGTGCAACGGAGCTATATCTGCAGATTTAAGTGCTGCTGGTATCTCTCCTGTATCCAGGCTCTTTCTCCATATTACGCTGAGTGCTCTCGCTACTGGTACTTTACATTTCTTTATGAATATTGAATTCCTTGAGTCAGGCCCAGGAGCTGAGTGCATAGGCATATTGTCAATTTCTCTTTCAAAGTCTTCCGAGTTTGTGGTAATATCCGTATATTATCTGCAGCTTGAATGTCATTCATAAAGAAGCTGTCTGGGTCATCAACTTTCATGTTGTTTACTGGTGTGCTAAACATAGCCTCATACTGGCTTCTTAGAATTTCACTAATCCCTTTGTTGTCCTCTGTGTACGTACCTTCATTTGTAATTAACGGTCCAATACTGGTCGAGGTTTTGGATTTTGATTTTGCGTATGTGAAAAAATATTTCGGATTTTTCCTTATCTCTTGTATAGCTTTCTGTTCCAATTCCATTTCCTCAGACTCATATGATCGCTTCAACGTTTGTTCTATTTCCTCAATCTCCCTGCTTAGGCTTGTTTTCCTTGCTTGTGATAGTTGTGTCTGCCGAAGCATTTCCGTTATTTTTTTTCCTTCTCCTGTACAGTCGTCTGCGTTCTCTTTCTAGAGTGGTCCTCTTTCTGCCCCTCCTCACAGGCACGTGCTTCAAGCAGACCTTGTAAGCTTCAGCTGTCAGTTGAGCTATTCCCTGTGTGGGAGTTTTGTCGCTTAAGACCGTCTCCCATTGAATGGTTGCAAGGTCTACATTTATTTTTTCCCAGTCAATCTTCTTATTGTTGAAATTGAATTGATTGAATATTCCTTCTCGCTTGTTGGGTCTCTTAGACCTACTACCGTTATTTATGCTAGTTCGCACTTCAATGAGCTTATGGTCTGAGTATGTAGTATCCGAGATTGTGATGTCCCTGATTAGTTCATCATTGTTTGTGAATAACAAGTCTAGTGTGTTTTCGTTCCTAGTTGGTTCTGTAATCTGTTGATTGAGCGAGAATTTGTCATAGAATCTCAAAAGTTCTCTGACCTGTGGTTGGTTATTTCCCGGGTCATTCCCTGCTATGAAATTTGTGTTTGCCGTTCTCCATCTTAGACTTGGTAAATTGAAATCTCCAAGGAAGATAATATCTGGAGCTGGGTTTGCTAGGTTGTCAAGTATGTTCTCTATTTTGTGCATCTGCTCTGTGAATTCCTCAATCGTTGTATCTGGTGGTTTATATATTAGAATAATAATTAGGTTTAGTTTCCCTACCTTCATTCCAAGTACCTCTACCACCTCATTAGTTGAGTTTAGTAGTTCTGTGCATACCAGGTCCTCTTTAATATACAGGCCTACTCCTCCATTTGACCTAGTTTTTCTATCACATTTATATAAATTATAATTTGGAATCCAGATTTCACCATCCATGTAATCTTTTGTATGAGTTTCCGTGGATGCCCCAAATATTGAGTTTGACTAATAGGAGGCCATTTATGAACTTAACTTTATTTCTTGACTTTGGCTTTAAACCTTGAATGTTTGCAAATATGAATGATTGTCCATATTGTGTGTCACTTCTGGAAGGTTTTGGTAGTTCTCCCTCCTCTCTACCCTGACCCAGGGTGTGTTGTTGTGGCAATGGTTTGTCCAGTTTTGGAAGTGATACTGGGGAGTGTGGTAGTCTCTGTGTAGTTGGGGGGTGTAGTATGTGTGGGCTTGATGCCGAACTGTAGTCCAGTCTTGGGCATTTCCCCCTCTCCATCCATACTCCTGCCACATTTCTGCCTGTTTCTCCCTCTGTTTGTACCTGCCTCTAAAAAAATTTCAGGGCTATTATATTGGACTTCTCTTATATAGCGCTGTGTACCTCTGACGTGGAAATCGGGCCAATGAAGATCGTAGCATTTCCTCTCATTAACTGAGAGTTTGCATAACTTAGGGTGAAAATATCTACACTCTGTATCAACACGACATCTGCCTTTCCCTAACCAGTTTGAGGTGTTACACTCCCTCATCGGGACAAAATTCCAAAAAACAAAGTTATGATATTTGTTTTCTTAGCTTTCCTTAGCGCCGTTCTCGTTCCAGTTTGCATCTTTTTCTCTCTCTCTTTTTTTCTTAGTGGTCTATGCCTTCTACATATTCCTAGTGCTACTGTGTCTATTTTCTGCTAGCACCGGTTGTTGTTTGCATTATCTAGCATTATTGAAAATGCATGTTTGCATAATCTCTTTTTCTTAACCCCTGCCCCATCTATTTTCTTAACCCCTATCTTGAGATTATCTTGAGATGATTTCGGGGCTTAGCGTCCCCGCGACCCGGTCCTCGACCAGGCCTACTTTTTGTTACCCCACAGGAAGCAGCCCGTAGCAGCTGTCTAACTCCCAGATACCTATTTACTGCTAGGTAACAGGGGCATCAGGGTGAAAGAAACATTTTACCCATTTGTCTCCGCCTCCACCAGGGATCGAACCCGGAACCTCAGGACTACGAATGCGAAGTGCTGTCCACCCAACTGTCAGACCCCATCACCCCTGCCCCATCTCTTTTCGTAACCCCTGTCCCATCTTTCCTTAACCTCTGTCC